TAAATCCATATCCAATGGTCATCTTTCAGAGGCGATGCTTTTCTGACATGTCCGCCCCCTAAATCCAACGCGGATATATAAATCTTCACTTCCGCATCCACACTCCACAAAAAGCACAACTACACATACAGTTAACCCAACAAGTATAAAAAAAAAAAATCCAACTAAATAAAAACCACAATAAATAAACAATACTAATCACCCCAAGTCCAATTCAACTCAAAACAAGTACCAAACCCTAAGTACCATGAATAGCATATCCCAAATATCGTGTAGTAAGCCCTGCAAGTAAAACGAAATGGATGTATGCAAACCCACCAATTGATAAGATTCGATAAATCAATGAATTGCCACCGCTCTCCACGCGCCTCCGCATCGCGTCGCGTTTTTTTCCCTTTCATCTCAATTCTTCTTCCCTTGAGTCCAGGAACCAACGAACAGGGACAATCATCGATTTACCCTAAATCGACATTCTAGAACCATACCTCCGGAGACCAGAAAAAAAGGAAGTAACAACATCACCACCCGATGCCATCTCCACCCCCCAGTACAACCAAAGAACCATAACGCACCGACCCAACACCCAAACCCGAAAAAGACGAGGAAGAAAAGAAAAGAATAAGAATAAGAAAAGAAGCTACCAGCCAACAATGCCACCCCGAAAATCCACGGGCGAAACCGTCGAAGACGCAGCAGCATCCTCACCACAGGCCCAGACGCAATCGCCGTCGACACAAACGCAACCGATCCAAGCCACAGAGCAACAACTCAAGGCTAGGGCTGAGGGGGGTGTTAGTATTGAGGTTCGTGATGATTATTTTGGTTTTTTTTTTTCTTCCTTTCTTTTTTTTCCCCCGTCTGCTTGCCTGGTTTTCGTTCTTTTACGACGCCGGATATTGTTTGCGTGAATGGGCTTGCTCTATTTATCTGTGAAAATGAGAAACTAATACCAAATACACAATAAAACAGGACTACCTTCTCCCCCGCTCCCTCACACTTCGGCTTGCGAAGTCGGTCCTCCCGCCGAACACCTCCATCCAGAAGGATGCAGTCCTCGCTATCCAGAAAGCAGCTACGGTGTTTGTGTCGTATCTCTCTTCGCAGTATTACTCCCCGCCCCCTCCCTTCTTTTTTTCCCCCCCCTCTCTTTTCTTTCTGTGTCGGATGATGAAAGGATAGTGTGGTTTGTGGGTATGTTTCATGCTAAGTATCGGTTTTTTATAGTGCCAATGAAGCGACTTTGAAGCGGACGGTTGCGCCGTCGGATGTCTTTAGTGCGATTTCGGAATTGGAGTTTGACGGGTTCCGGTCGAGGCTGGAGAAAGAGCTGGATGCGTTTACGGAGTTGAAGGCCGGGAAGAGGAAGGCGAAGAAGGGGGATGCTGAGGCAACTGCGGCGGAGGGCGCAAAGGGGAGTGCGGCTTCGGAGGGCGGTGGTGCTTCCAGGGGGGCGAAGAGGGTGAAGAGGGCTGAAGGAGAGGAGGCTGCTTCTAGTCGGCCGGAGGAGGGGGATGATGGGGATGAGACGCAGGATGAGGCGGAGCAGGTGGATGAGCATGAGCATGAGCATGAGTCTGAGGCCGAGGAGGAAGATGAGGGTGAAGAAGAGGAAGAGGAGGAGGAGGAGGAGCTGGGTGAGGAAGAGGATATCGATCGGGTGGAGGACTTGGATCGTGACCCGAGAGCGAAACGGGTCATAGACCCGGATGCTGCTGGAGATGAGTCGGACAGTGATGACGATGCTGGGCCGTCGTCACAGCTGAGGGGGGATTTGGGGTTGGGTTGATTCTGTATGGTTCTACTGCTAATTGATAGAGTGTTCTACGTTATATGGACGGGTCGATATTAATTATTGAGATGCGCAAGAATGCCAGATTCATTTCCAAGCGTATGATATGAATGATAGATAATGCGAGAATGTATACCAAACTCCACGACCGACACCAACCCAAACGCCGACCCGAAGGACCAGATACATGGTCATCATCCCATAAATTATACAGAGGCAGACGGGTATCGTCTGAACCACCATTCAAAGTACAGCATCCCAGTGGAAGCAGCAAGAGTCATTGCTTCCTGCTGTTTCTCTTCAATGCCCATTTCCCACAAAACGCCATTGCAACATGCATAGTCTATCCTGGTATCTTGACAGTTCAACTGACGGCCCTAAGGCAAAATCAACGGAAAAAAAGAATCACGGCGAAGAATAGAAGAAGATAGACTAAAAATGACATGCGACAAGTGCCATGCATTCATGCGGCCGGCTGATTTAACAACTGGCTCATCCCATTCGGAACCGATTTGGGGGAGATTGTGTCCGGTTGGCGCCAACGACTGCTGCGTGGGGGGGTTTCTTCTCCCTTCTCCGCCAACTGAGGCAACATTGGGCCATTGTTGCGAGCAGCGCCGGGGGGCAGTGGGTGCATTGGCTTGTTTTCCTCTTTCTCCAGCTTGACCGCCTTTTCCGTGTCGGTCGCGACCTTCTGCGCCTTGGTAACTTTGCTGAAGGTGGTGATGCGGGAATTCTTGACCGGCTCGTCTTTCTTGGTCTTCTTGCGAGGCGCGCTTTTCTTTGCAGCTGGCTTCTTGGGCTCTGCGGTCTTCGACGCTTTGAGTACATCCTGGAGGCTGCGCCCGCGACTGGCGGGATTGGACCGAGATTTGGCCGGGCCCTTCTTTGGTAACTGGGAAGCCTCTTCGTCGTGGCTGGATGAAGGCGTGAGGAAACCCGTTTGAGTCTTTTGCTTCTTCTTCGGCGTCTCAATGACAATCGACACTCCATGCTCGTGCTTCACGCGCTCCACCTCAGATGCATTACATTCGTCGAATACATTCTCGGAGTGGTCATCCCAGCGTTTCAGGGCGGCCAGCCGCGCCACTTCCTCGCAGTCCCCCTTGACCATCAAATCCCAGCAATCTTCAAACTCTTTGCCGGCCGGAGGTTCATTGTTGATCCACATGGTCACTCCGTTTCGGCGACTCCGGATCACGGAACAAAGACTCTTCACCAGGCGCCGCACGCCGGGGATCTTTAGACTCGTGCCCACCACAATCAGCGCGTCCGGGCGCGAGCGTACATCGGCATTCATGACCGAGGTAATGGCTTCCTCATCCGGATTGTGTTCGTTGTACAGCACGATCCGGGGCCGCATTTTACCGATGCCATGACTGCGCTGCCCCGTCTCGACGCGGAATTGGTTGTTCCTTGCGCACTCTGGACATTCCGGCGCATCTGGACGGTCGAACATGGCACCATCGAAGTCACCGAGATGACGACATTTCTGGCATACCATCTTCTCCAGGCTTCCGTGCAGCTGGATCGTGCGGGGCCACGGGGCCTTCACATTCAATGGGATCTGAGTGGCCAAGGGAGGCATCGAAGTCTCAATGCCATCGATGTTCTGGGTGTACAGACGGGTCAGACGATTTTCTTGGCTGAGGCGCGCCAGCATGTGGTGAAAAGCCGTGGGGGAGGTCTTGGCAGCCTCTTCGGACAGCGACCGCACCATGTCTTGGAAAGAGGCGGTTAGTGCTTCATCTTGATAGACGGCCGCATCGAAGAGGAGTTTCCCCGACGCTTTGAGGTTGTGTTTTTTCTGTAGAGATTTAAAGAGCCCATCGGTGGAGCGGAAGTCGGGAACTATGTGGCAGCAAGAAGATCTTGATTAGCGGCGAGACGCGTTGTAGACAGGGAAGAGGGGAATGCATACTGCCGGCCGAGGTGGAGATGCCCGCTCCAGCGATGACGACAATTTTGCGGTGCCGACGAAGGGTCTTCGTGAGCAGATCGATCTGCGCCTGCTGTTCAGTATAGGACAGTCCGGCGCCGGTGGAGAGATCGAGACGTTGTGTTCGGCGTTCCTTGGGGGCGGCGACCCGTCGTTTTTTTCTTGCGGGCGGCAAGTCGTCTCGGTCTTGGCTGCGGGTGCCGCTGGACTCGTCTGTGTCCTGCGACGGAGGCGGCGAGGGATAGAACCCCGGCGGTGGTGTCGGTGACGCTGGCGGCGAGCTCAGCTCGGATACGTCGGAGAAACCATCGTCCATGGCGTGGTGGAATTCTCCGTGAGAATTAGAGAGAAAAAAAAAAGAAATAAATAGAGTATCTAATCACACGGGGTGGGAGGAGGAGAAGAAGAAAGGAGAGAAGATGACGACGAGGTGGTGGTAGAACGGGAAAGGCTGAGGTGTTCGTGTTGCAGCAGAGAAAAGAGGAGAAAAATGAGGAGGTCCAGCAACAGAGCTTTCACCACAAAGAATTGCTGCTAATTGCGACCCAGAATGAAAATCATGGAGAAAATACACCAGGATTGGAACATCAATTGGTTTGTGGAAGCCCCCAAATCGAAACCTTTCGTTTCGAAAATTCTCTTCTCTCTCTTTTTCTTTTTTTGTTCGTCTCTGGTCCTTTTCTAGATTCAAGAGAACTCCCTTGTCGGGGTGGGAGGAGGTAAGGGGAGAAGAACAAGACGAAGAAGACCAGAAACACGTCGACGGATAGAGTGGGTTGAATGAATGCAACCGTAAGAGTGACTAAGAAGGGGGGAAAGGGAAAATCATGAGGTCAGGGCGGGAGAAAGGGAAACGATATTGGCACAGCGCACGCAGTTCGTAGTTCTGGTTCACCTCTGCGCTCTCGCTTGGTGCCGATGTTGTGTTTATTTTGACTGACCCACGGGATGGAAACACTGTCGCTGCGAACCTGGAGGACCAGTGGGAAACCCTAACGAACAAACGTATGTCCGTCCAGATTGACAGACGTCAAGACTGGCAACGGGAGGTATGTCGAGAGGAATGTTGCGATCGGTGGTCTACTGGGGACTGTATATCCTGATAAGACAGGAACCTGGTTTATGAAGGAGTCCCCAAGACCCCTTCTGCACCTCTTGTTTATGTCTTGACCTTCAATGTGAACTAACAAATCTGCTAACAAATTTAGCGCGAAGTCCAACATGCAAAAGACCACTAGGAGCAATCCGGTTTAGCCTTCTAGAACCTTTAGCCGCACAGCAGCCGCTAATTGGTCCGTCCCCACGTCGAACCTGCCATGAACTGCAGCAGCTCGACGGTTCAAGGTTCTGAATATAGCAAGACTTCAATAGCACCGATCCTTTCTGGCGTATTAATTTTGAGAATTTTTTGCAGTTCGATTTGGTATCTCCCGTACTTAGTTGTCCGTCCGATGCAGGGCAGTGTGTGCCCAACCCAACGACGGGGTGACATGTCTCCAAACTCCTGACCCCCCTTCGATTGATGCAGCTCTGCCGATAATATCCCGGGCGTGAGGACACGCAATTCCACGGAATTGGGCCCATTCCCACGTATGAAGGGAGCCGCTCCTCTTATTCGCTCATGAAAGACTTCGAGTGACCCAGTTGTATTGCTCTGTATTGCTCAGTATGCCCACCCCCGTCAAGGGCCTCGTCGCGGTTTTCTTTGGCAGACAGCAGCACCGAGAAATGCCTACATTGCAAAACCATTAAATATCAATCACCATACTGCACCGTATCATCTACAGCGCAATTGAATTATGGTACCAAGGGAGATCCCGTGCTCCTCCGCTTCCACTTGGCATTCGTTTACGGCACATTGTAAGGATCGATCGTGTATTTTTGCACTTGCTACATGTCAGCCCCTCTATTCTCCATTCAATCGGTAATCCCCAGTAAGGAACAGCCGTAACTGGCCGTTGTGTGTCAGCATATGGTTCTCATGGCCAGATCGGTGGTCGGCGGGGAGGTATAGAAGTAGGGCTCGGGATCGGTGGGGACTGCGATGATTGGTTCATCTGGTTGACCCGGATACCATGATCACAGGACCCCCACGTGATGGTGACTAAGCCAGCCGTTGACTCCACATGGAATTGAAAGTGTTATCGAGCAAGATTGAGCGAGAGCAGGAATGAATGAGAATCTTGGTTGAGGAAAGCGTAAAGAAGCCGCAGGATGTGGATGCGCACCTGTCCGGTTGGTTCCAATTGAGCTAGGCTTGCTGTTCCTTTCGATCTCCGTTTGGTGTGGTCTGTTCGTAGTATCGCTGTGGGCTCCGACATCCATCGCCCAGGAACAGGACACCCTTACTATGATACTAGCGACCGGACGATCGACCTAAGATATTCTCGGGAAGTTACAGACTACACATTCCTCTTTCATGAATAGTATATGCGATTCCCGACATCATGCCAATGATCATGGACGACGGCATCAATGTTGACGATTTGTTTGGCGAGTCGGCCTCGCTCGAGCTGGGCTTGCCAGCGCCCGCCCCTACCTCGAACTCCACCAAAGGTCTTGCTCAGCGCCTAGATGAGATGCGACTTTTGGGGTGCTGTCAGTACGTCATATGCCTATCTTCGTATAGCCACCCCTCTGGTTTGTACAGAAACTTACTAGATGTAGGAAGATTGCTTGGTCTAAACAGGGTTGCATTGCATATATCTCTCAAGATACATTGAGAGTGAATCTTCGTCACCTGGAATGTCGACCATCTGATGGGAAGTGGGTGCTGAGTGATGACACTCCATTACACCCAGTGGCAGAGGCCCATGGGGGCCAGCCTCTCGTCCACTTATGCTGGAATGAAATTGGATCTGAATTAGCCGTGGTTGACTCGTCTGGACGAGTTTCGATTTATAATATTGCGATTTCGCTGAACAGTCTAGCTGGGCAACGCCAGGCGGCTTTTGATCCAATCGATGATGGAGCTCAGATTGTCGGTATGATGTGGCTGAATGTTCAACGTTCCGTAAGTACCCACGTTCTTCGTTCGTTCATGTTTGATATGACGCTCAACTCCCTCAAAGGTCCATGCTTTCAATGTCGCAGCAATGGTGCAAGGGCGCCGGGCGTACTCACCATTTCGACGCCGCCCAATAGGCCCCTTTCACCCGGCTGGAAAAGCCGCTTTGTTATGTGTAACCAGATCCGGCGTCATCAGGCTCTTGTACCAGAATCCCGACAACAAATGGGCAGAAATCTCTGCAGAACTGAAGAATGCGAGCTACTCCGACCGACTTCTTACCCATGCGGCTATCGTGGCCACTCAGAATGGAATCCTCATCGCTACTTACTCTGCATGCCAAAAGATCTACTTCTATCGAGTGCAGATTAACTGGACGCCTCCACAGTGGGATCCGAGCCAGTTAAAGCAGGCACCAAATCAATTCCCCGTCCCAGGCTTTCGCTTCATGCACTCTAAAGTTGAGGCTCCTTGTATCATACCAAGTGCAAGCCGCAATGGGGAAGCAACCAGCGATGAATTACCACCCTCTACCAACCCACTATATTGCCTCACCCGCCTGGATATAGTCCTCGCCGCACATGACAATTCTGCTGGGATGACCACAAATCCATGGATAATAGCTGTTTTCTCGATCCCCCCTCATGCTACTCCTGATCACTCACAGCAACCGAGCCCCTGTAGTGTCATTGTCCGATGGCAATTGGAGTCTGCTCCACAGGTGCTTCACCCAAAATTTGATGAGGTAAATTCAAAGAAAAATAACGCTCAAATCAAAGTACGTGACTCAAGGTTGACTGCTGGAGAGCCTTGCTGATTGCCAATTAGCCAAAATCCGTGCTACGACGACTGGAAGACATGTATTGCGACAGATATGTCACTACGATAGAGCAGACGGAGCATGGAAACGTCCTAGCTGTCACGTACGACGATAGTTCGGTCACTTTTTATGATCCAAAGACGATGGCCGTCTTGAACGGAACTGATGATACGAATACACTGAGTAGCTTAGGTCATGCAGGGTTCCATTATCCTCCTGACTCTGCAGGTGAATTCCCCTTAAGATATTGCAATTGGATGAAGGTTGACTTTTCTTTAGCAGGTCTACACATCAGCTTCTCCCCCAGTGGCTGTAACGCTGTCACGTTGGATGGAGAAGGGCAGGCGCAGCTACGGGTGATGGAACACTCGTATGGCGCGGAAAATGGACTTTACGATGAAAGTATGTGTTGTTCCCCCCCTGAAAGTCTATGACCATATCTGACTTCAATCAAGATAAATTCTCTGCTGCGATTGCCTCCTTGACACTGGCATTCTGCCGCGGATGCGGAAGCGAGTTTAATACGGATGACATTTTGTTAATTTTGAAACGGCAAGCGTCACCTGGTCAGTTCATTTCCCTGCGCTCGACGGGGTTCCCGGGCTAACCGTTTGGCAAGATGCGCAAACCTCTTTCATCAATGAAGTTTACCGCGCTCTGGGGGTCAACTGCAACTACACACAGGAAAACGATAAATTGATGAGCCACCAGTACTTACCAAAATGCCTCAGCGTTCAAGCCGCACTGGGGTTCATTGATAAATACAAATCGCGGAACTTTGCATCTAATGTACCATGGACAATTCTCCAGCTTCGTCATGCTTCTGTCCTATATGCGCTTTTTCTCCAGTATCTTAAAGGAGGTGTACAGGCAGAACCACCCGATGCAGGTAAGATCTCGACATGCGGGAAATGTACAGAACCCTCTCTGACTATAAGCGCCAATGCAGATGCTATACGTATTTTACTTGGAAATACGAAATGGGCCTTGGACTTGTTACATTATGTTCTGAACGACCTTCTTGACCTCGCAGATGACCTAGAGAGCTTGCTTTCTGACCAGGAGGCTTTTGCCCAAAAATGTCAGTATATCATCCGTTGATTTCGAATCTCAAACCAGAGCCATGCCACCCATACTGATACTGTTCGTGGCAGTGAAAACCATAAATTCTCTACCCCTGATCATCCTCCTGTCTAGTATGTCTCGGGCCTTCCTGCGCTTCATCTGCCGCGGCTTGCGAGGAATTCAGGCCGGCTATGCTACTGCACCTCTGACGGGCGATGCTGGCGTCTACTATGCCGAGATTTATCAAACTCTAGACACATCCCCTGTGCGAATTGACGTGTATGAGAAGTTGCTTGCTGGGGTGGACTCGACTGTGCGACATGTCTATGTTGGAGCGGGCTTTGGAGACAATGAACGGCCGGGGCCTGAAAAGGAACTCTTAGTCAACGGCCGTATCCCCCCCGTTCTTGTTACGGCCGTCTCTACTATTCTCCGACAGACGGTCCCCACGCTCAAGCCTGAGATCGATCGCATGGCTATCTATATAGGTGACTACAGTTGGCTTGGCCTTGGATCCGACCCACGTGCAGAGTTGTACCGGAGGACCCGGGACGTGGATATCATCAAGAAGATTCCTTTCAGAAGCACGACATCTGCGGGCTCGGACGGGGCTCAAAGCGGAAAGCACAATCCCAGCCAGGTGCGCAGACGATGCGTCCGTTGTTGCGAGATTATGTGCGGTGCGTACCCACCACGCCCCCAGCTATCGTCTCGCATGATGTACAAGTTGGGCTATGTGCGGTATTGTATCTGTGGAGGAGGATGGACTCTGGAGTCGGACCTCCACCGCTAGACGAACCATCTGTGTGGTACTAGGTTGTTCTAGTGTATTAGGCTAGAGCTGATTGTAAAAAAATTTGAAACAAGTGATGTGTGATATCTCGACTAGGTGTTGTTGTCTGGGGGCATAAGGACCAGTCTAATAGAGATCTTAGGTCTACGTGGTTGTGTATGAAGACGATGATAGCGCAGAATCCCGGACCAAGAACATTCATCTGTCTGGATTTGTTCCTTGTAACACCACCATAGGATTCCTATTAAGCATAAATGGTACTGCATGGAAACGAGTATCGACCAGGAAAGACCCCTTCTCGAGCCATCGCCCCTAAGGAATTGGATTGCCGGATTCTAAGGAACTCGTCACATCACGGTCGGAAGTCGTGCATTATCATTGTCATGTCAAGTAAAGCCTTCATTTAATATCGACTTGCATCTTTTTCTAAGATACATAATCAATTTCTTTTAAAAGACGTTTTTGGTGCAACCGACCCACACAAGGTGGTCCAACCCGTCATCTTTATAACGACGTTCCCGGAACTCCATCTAAATCCAGACACGACCCGACTTCATTTAAGCCTGTTCGAATCACCGATCAGCACTGGTTCACTTTTCCGAAGAGCATGGTCTTCCCAGCTGCGAGCGTAATCTCGTCGGGAAGATGACGGCCTCATACCTTAACAGCGAACTTGCGCTGAGGGAAGTGGATCTCGCGCTTCTTCTGTCTCTCGGTCTTGAGGGAGGCCTCGTGCTTGGTAAGGCGGCGACGGAGATCACGGGTAAGCTTGGGGCGGAGATCGAGAGGGAGGTACTTCTTGTTCTTGTAGAACAAGCGGAGCTGAGCGCGCTGGTTGGCGTTGATGACGGTGTGGACACGAGCAATCGACTTGCGGACGTCGTGGCTGTAACAGATTCACAATCAGCATTTTCTGGTCTGCTTCCGTTTTCCCTTGTGGTTGTGTGCAAGTAAAGGAAAAAAAATTGCGCGGTCGTTGCAGTCCCTTCTCTTTTCACAGTATCTGTAGAGTTTTCATCTCTTTCCCCCCCCCTCTTCCTTCCAGCGCACATATTCTTTTGGGTATTGGCGTAACCAGGTGTAAAACAGGGATTTCGAAAAGGAAAAGCAATTTCAAACGCACATTCTCTGGGTCTTCGACGAGGCACCGCCAGTGATCTTCTGGACGCGGAGCTGGCTAAGCTCCTGCTTCAGCTCCTCCAGCTGCTTGGTGAGATCATCCTTGTTCTTTCCCCAGAGCTGACCAGCCTTGACCTTGGAAGACTATCGACGAAACCGTTAGCAACCATTAATTCGAACGCGAAAAATTCACCAGTATCGTCATCATCCTGGCGCAGCGCAACATACCATGGTGGGCGGTATTGTCGTGTCGTGCGGTTGTCGACGAGAGGATTGAAGATGGACCGGGTCAATTTGGGATGTTCGTTGTGGGACTAGGGTTATTTTTTTCTTGCGTGTGGTGCGCCGCCGTAAGCGGGCACGTGATGCAGCTGTGGCTGGTGCCTTGTGATGACGCCGCCTCCGCCTCCGCCTTACCAGACTCGGTGATGGGAGCCGCGGATGCTTTTGGGGGATTGCCTTGCGTTTCGTTTCCCGCTGGTCGGTCAACTTAATACTCACTTGTGCTTTTAGTCGGGGGTTTCTCGGGTTGAAGATCTTCTTAGCCTGATACGGGGAATTATATTACTTGACCTCTCTGTTCATTGATTCATTTGAGATACTAGCACCCTTATCTTGACCTTACCCCCATATACTTCTATACCCACTCTCCATGGCGGCCTCAACAGGTACCGGGTGGGCTCAGCTCCGGCAGCAAGCCCGCTCTCTCGAAACCCAGGTACGGACTGAATAGACCCAGAGGAGTCCTGAAAACCGCACTAGGAAGCATAGAGCAGCATGCTAACTCATATCGCTTTTAGACTGAAAGCCTATTCCACTCCTACTCGCAATATGCGTCGATGACAACCCTCCCCCGAGACCCAACTGAGGAAGAACTCCGACTGGAATCACAACTAAAAGGATTGCTCGAAAAGGTACACTCTCAGATAGGCCATCCCTCTTCCGACAGAATGCCTCACTAACTCCCACCCCAGCGTCAAGCCCTCGTCTCTCAACTCTCCCGTCTCCTCGACTCCGAAGCCACCTTGACCTCCTCCGCCCTGAAACAGAACAACCTCGCCCGCCACCGTGAAATCCTCCAAGACCACCGCCGGGAACTCCAACGGCTCACCGCCGCCATTGCAGAATCGCGCGACCGCGCAAATCTACTCACCAATGTCCGCTCCGACATCGATGCCTATCGGGCGTCGAATCCCGCCGCCGCCGAAGCCGACTACATGCTCGAGGAGCGGGGTCGGATCGACCAAAGCCACAACGTGATAGACGGCGTTTTGAGCCAAGCATACGCCATCAACGAGAACTTCGGGCTTCAGCGCGAGACGTTGGCCAGTATTAATCGGCGCATTGTTGGAGCCGCTAGCCAGGTGCCCGGGATGAATGCGTTGATCGGGAAGATTGGGTCGAAGCGGAGGCGAGATGCGCTTATCTTGGGGGCCTTTATCGGATTTTGCTTTTTGATGCTGCTTTGGTTCCGATAAGTGCATGCTAGGTCCGCTTTAGCTTGGTGTCAGATCTCTACTTTAGCGGTGTGATTTTCTGGTTTCTTTGTCATCTATTATACTGCTGTCTATAGTGTGAGGGCGTTATGGGATTGGGCACTTCTCGCTGCTGCTATACAGGAAATGTTAATTTGTGGGTCCTGAGGTTTGGTTTCTTGTATCATTTGCTTGGTGTACAGGGACGACCCAAATCATACTTATTGATGATCTGCATGTGCTGATTGGTTGTACGATGGGTTGTGGCCGAGCTCGGTGGACAGTGAATGGGGTAATCCGTAATATAATACATATATATATACATGATGACTATTTATGCTTCTCATGGTCTCATGACAACCCGGGGCTTTTGAGCTGCCGACGCAGTTTGGTTCTTTCTTTCCCACTCTGTGGCCGGTAACTCAGACTCCATACTGACCTTCTTCTCTTGGATCAGTTTGCGAATCCCGTTGTTGAGTGCCTCGAGCTCATGTTCCTCTGCGGACCCGCTGCCTGCCCACCGAATGCGACAGTTTTCATCCAAGAGATAAACGTATCCAACCTTGCTGTTCATCATCCCGATAGACTCCTTAACGCCCTCTGTGACACCCTTGCGAACCAGGAAATAGCGCCTATGTTGCTGTTCAGGCAACTTGTTCCGCATCCGCCACATGAATCTGCGAACCAGCCATGCCTTGAGAGCATTCTCTTCTAGGTTAATATCCACCTTCTGAACCATATCGCCACCACTCTTAAGCGCCTCATAGAGGCCCGGATTCTGTTCGGGGCCCGTGAAAGTCGCAACCTGCGTCTCCGCCCAAACACTGGAGAAAAGATTCACGACGGAAATTCTGCCCCGAAGCTGCGAGGTGGTATCCTGCGGTTCCTTGGGCGATGCGAGTGTGGTACCGTGCATGTTGGGGAAGTAGAGCGCCTTGTCTCGTTTGAATAACCGGGGGCCGGAGTAGAAGGTCTTTCCTTCGTGGTGGCGGAGGTTCGACCATTCTCGGAAATATGGCTTTGCGACTTGTCTTGTTCTGTTATTGCATACAAATCGGGTCAGTAACTGGGTATGGACTACTTGGGAAGGCTAGAGATGTTCGTACAGTTCCTTGCGACGCTCCAGATGTTTATCATAATTGACAAAGTCGTCTCGTCTTTGCCGGAGAGATCGCGAATCAATACCGGTGTTCTGTCCTTCTTGCGGAGGAATCACCGAACCAATTGGACGGTCGAGAGTCGGAGGAACGAAGTCATCGTCGCCGGGTTCGGGGGCCGCAGAAGGAGGTGACGACGGGGATGGATTCTGCTTAAATTGGACTTTATTGTACGCTGTTGGATTGGGTACAGCCGTCTTTGCTGCTTTATCATTGTTGCTGCTGCTGGCGTAGTAGCGCAGCGCGGGCTTAAGTCGAATAGTTGAAGTGGCAGCGGCATTGCGGAATTGGCAGCTGAGACAGCGACCTCCCTGGAGCAGAGTGACCTCTGTGAAAGAGGATAGAAGTATAGATCGCTTCCACATTCTGACTGACGACCAATGTCAATTTCAACAGTGGTGGTTGTTGACTGGGCCTATCTGCTTCGAAAGATCCACATGCTTTACTTTTCGGGAAGTTAGATTGAAAGCCCGCGATCCCGTGACTAGGCGGCATTTTCGTGTCGCTCCCCACGCGTGGTTGCCTTCGGGCGTGTTTCTTGCATATTGGTCCCTGTTGGTCACCGACCACTTGCTGTGATTAAATTGAAGTATTGGGAATATACGTACATATACCGTCACCTGCTGGGCAGGTTCGGGATTCCATCACCCATGGCTCTACGGATTCCGGAGGATATGACATCGACATTATATGAGCCCGGAGATGGTGCAAAGCACCTCGGACAAAGATGCCTTTTTCCAAGGACTTGAGAGGCTAGATGCTTTGGTGGATGACTCGGGTGATGATTCCGATGAGAGGTTTTCTCAGCTTATCGCACTGGCGAAAGACTATGTTGAGCCTGTTCACCAAGCTGGGCCTGCTCTTTCCGATTCACTGGTGAAGAAAACAGGTGCACTGGGAGCAACTTCCACTTTAAAGTCACCTTCACTTGATGCCACGGACCAGGGAAAGTGCAGAAACACATCTATAATTGTTATCCAAGATGTACAGGATTCTACTGTGAAAGGGTCAAGCATCATGGGACCTCCGAAGAAGAACAATGTCGACGGCAAGAAGAAGAAGCGAACATCTACTACGAAGATAGTTCCGGAACAGCATCAAATCTTCAAGGGCCTCGTGTTCTGTCAGTGATCAGTTTTACTTCATTTAAACCTTGCTGTCTGATCTTCATTGTGCTGACTGGTCTTTCAGTCTTCTTCCCGAATAGCGACGTTTCGCCCTTACGGCGGCTGCGCATCCAGCGAGCGCAGGAGTATGGTGCTCTCTGGGCTCGCACTTGGGGTGATAATGTCACGCATGTGATTGTTGACAAAGGTTTGACTTTTCAGGAGGTTCTGAGGCATCTCGGTTTGGAGACGTTTCCGGTTAGTCTAGAGCATTGGCCTTTTTACTTCTCTTGCCTACTGACTTTGATGAAGCCGAACATTGCCCTCCTCGATGAGAGTTATCCCTCGGAATGCATAAAGTTTCGAACGGTCATAAGTACATCTCATGTGCGATTCCGAATAACAGGGATGCCGGTCGTCTCAAAAGCAACGGAGGAACCCCAGCAAAATGAACCCTCGGATGAGTCTTTGCCGTTGAAACCAACTGGTAGACAAAAGCGACAGCTTGAAACTCAGTCTCAGCCCTCTGAGAGCGAAGACGACTCGGAATACCCTCCCGATGCACAAAAGCCCAACGGCTACTCAGACGAGGCACAGAAGGAGGTGGTCTATGAGCCACTTCGTGAGCGAGATGCCTTGGATGACATGATTGATGAAGCAAAAGCTGTGAAGGACTTGGTACGACTAATCCATTGCATTAACATATACCATGCTGAACATCAATATAGCCTTTGGAGCCGTTGGACTCTCTTGATGATGAACCTACCACCGAAGAGGCCGATCTGGAGACCTCCGAAGAATCAGAGTGCCAGCCAAACCCGCGAAAGAGAAAAAGAACCTCCAAATTGGATAACGAAGGAAAAGATGATTGGCAACAAAAATTTACCTGCATGCAGAAGCATGATCCGAAGTCGAATCCCGAGAATCCCAACAGACGGACTATTGATGTCCTTCAGCAGATGCTGGACTATTATACACGGACTGATGACCACTGGCGTACGCTTGCCTATCGCAAAGCTATCGCCGCTCTTCGGAGGCAGCCAAAGAAGATTGTCACGAGATTGCAGGCAATTGCTCTCCCAGGAGTAGGGCTGCGCTTGGCAGATAAGATCGAGGAAATTGTGTGCACAAACCGGCTCCGTCGCTTGGAAAGTACCAATATTACACGCGAGGATGTCATACTCCAAGAGTTTTTGGGTGTTTACGGAGCTGGGATTTCACAGGCCTCGAAGTGGGTTGCTAAAGGCTATAGATCACTAGAGGATCTAAGGACTAAAGCGTCCCTGACCCCTCAGCAACAAATCGGTGTCGAGCACTACCATGATTTCTCTCAACGGATCCCGCGAAAAGAAGTAGAGACACATGGCGAGATCGTCCAAAGGGTCGTGCAAAAGGCAGACCCTGGAATGCAGGTCATCATCGCTGGGTCTTACCGACGTGGCGCTGCTGACTGCGGAGACATCGATCTACTAATCACCAAGCCAGATGCGACGATTGAGCAGATTCGAGCCTTGATGATGGACGTGGTAGTCCCGAAACTCTTCAAACGGGGCTTCCTACAGGCCAGCTTGGCGATTACGTCGCGAGGGGATGGGTCTAAGTGGCATGGCGCATCTCTAGCTCCGGGCAGCCAGATCTGGCGACGGATCGATCTTCTTTTCGTGCCGGGCTCGGAGATTGGCGCTGCACTGCTTTACTTTACTGGGAATGACATTTTCAATCGAAGCATGAGGCTATTGGCAAGCAAGAAAGGCATGCGGTTGAATCAGCGCGGACTATATACGGACGTACTGCGAGGGCCGCAGCGGGTGAAGTTGAACACCGGTCGGCTGCTTGAGGGTCGTGACGAGCGACGCATTTTCGAGATTCTGGGAGTTCCATGGCGTCCTCCCGAACATCGTATATGCTGACGTGCCCGGTCTTTTTTTTTTTTTTTTTTTTTTTTGGTTCTGTTTTTTTTTTCGGAACCGGTAATGCTTTTTGGGAATATGCTTCATGACAGATAACATTTGATGCATAACTAATACTTCTTTTTATTGCTTTAGGTATATACTCTGGCTGCTCCGCTTCCAGACCGACTTCTCATCTTGCATGAATTCGCTGTAGTGTCACTGCAGGATTGTTACAAAGTTTTTATGGAGTAGATATGGAAAACTAAGCATGACGCTGGCCCGAGTGGTCTGTATCATAATGATGAAGCTGATGATGTTGTTGCTGTAAGGGCTACAGCCAGAAGCGGTAAAAGTGAACAATCCGTATGTATTGTACGGGAGTAACCTTTCCGTAAGCTTTAGGAGGTATCTTTTGTGTGGCCCAGGGTAGGACAGGAACTTGGCGACTTTTGAACATGCCAGAAGGAGGCTCAATAAACGAGGGTTAAGACCTTCACCATTTGGTAGGGTGGCGAAAAAATGACTGTGTGTTGAATTGAAAGTCACGCGTGAATCCAGTTCATGATCCCGTGAGGTCACACCCCAAACGTATTCCTAAAATCCAAAAGAAAAATAAAAAATAAATAAAACAAGACATCATTTCCACCCCTGTCACCGATCTCATCACCGCCTTTCATGCGGTGAAGCGCATGCAATAGAACACTGAGGGCGGCATCCGTCAGACCGCCCGTGGAAAAGTGCAAAAGTCATCGTTTTGCCGTTGCTTCCAACAATTATTCCTCCTCCATCCCACTCTTCCTGTCTCTCCACCTTATCGCACTCCCCATCACAGCTGTTATTCTGCCGTTATCAATCGTCTGGTGGCTTGTGAATCGCCTGCAGTTTGGCCCATCGTCATTGTCACATCCGCGACACACGCGGGTGGTTGTTGTTTTTTGTGTGCTTTGTGGCCCACTGGTATTTTGCCGTCCCGACCAATCCACCCCTCGTCATCCTTTGTGCGCGCGATTCGATCCACCATTCGTATTTCTGCTGTCGCTTCTGAATCCCTCTGTAAGGTCGAGCGTGTCCTAATTATCCCCATCGGGACCTCTGGCCCTGGGAATACTCGACGCCTTTGGCTCCCGACCCTTCCTGTCGAGTCCTTGTGTTGCCCCGTCTCACTCACCCGTCATGGGTCGCAAACCGAACCAGCTGATCCTCGAGTTCTTCATTCGAGGCCAGAAACTCGAGGATGCCAGTAACCGTTACCAGCACACATGCAAAGCCTGCGGAGAGAAATTTCCCAAAGGTCGCATCGACAGTTTAACCAACCATCTCGTCAAGAAGTGTCAAGCCATCCCGCTGCGAGACCGTCAACGCGTCCTGTTGCGCCTCCACGAACTTCCCGATCTCGCCGACGGTGACCAGAACAAAGACCCGAGTGTCGCGGGCCAAAACAAAGGAAAAGGATCGGATCTACCTTTTGCCACTCGCCAGAATTTCGATGGTCTGAATGTCCTAGCTGAGGCCTCAAGACAGGTGGGCGCGTCCGACCAGACTAAACGGGGCGGGCCTGCGTATACACAATCGGTTACTGTCGGTGGTAAGACGGTCGTTGTCGACCCTGCGCTTGAAGCCGAGGGCTTTCAGGGCCATCCGCAGGCCGAGCACGTCGAGGAAGACGTGAAGCCACCTGGTAAGCTGATTTCGTCCCTTTCCTTCATTCTCTTTGTTTTGTCGCTGGCTTTCGTCGGTTTCATTGGTGTCGCACTAACTAATATCCTCTTGTAGGAACTCCCCAAGGCTCTAACGCAACGCTTCCATCCCTCCCCAATGCTTCGCAAGATCAACCTGCGTCCGCGTCTCCTCCGCTGGCGGAAGCTTCGCTGACGCCTGACCCCACCTCCAATGCTCGCCAGTCGCAACTTTCCATGATAGCCGCCTCTGCTAGCGAGATGGTGCCACAGGGAATGCCGTTGGACCATGACATCGTCGATGGCTTGCCGAAGGTGGGCTCATGGAACCAACAGCTCTCCACTCAGGAACAGCTCCTATTTGATAGTCTCCATGAACATGACCCTACTCTTACTGCTGCGACGCAGCGGGCTGCTGCTTTCCCACGTCCTATCGCGATGAACCCTAACTCACAGGCGAAGGGATTCGTAAATGAATTCGGTAACTCGACTAAACCGACAAAGCCCAAGGTACGCGGGCGGTTTTCTGCGGCTAGACGTAGAGAGGTTCAGGAAGTCAGAAAGCGCGGCGCGTGTATCCGTTGCCGCATGCTCAAGAAACCTGTACAGTTACCCCTCATCTTTCTGTTTTGTTGGGCGCGCAACTAATTGTGATTCTTCAGTGCTCCGGTGATAGTCCTTGCACTACCTGTGCCAGTGTAGAAAGCGCGCGGCTGTGGAAGCATCCATGTATTCGGACGCGGATTGCGGAAGAGTTTGACCTGTATAATGCCAGTAAGTATTTTGTTCCTCACTCTGCATTTAGTTTGTGTTGGGTGACTGACCGCCTAGACTTGCACGCCACCCTGGCATATCACGACGTAAGCGGTATCCGAAACCAGGTCAAGTTTGAGCATTATGCCGGCCGTATTGAGATTACCCACTTTGAAGAGAGCATGGTGTATGTCACCTTTAGTGCGCTCCAAGGCCACAAGCCATCTACCTCAACGCTTGATCCCCAACTTCAAGGGCTGGGAGACGACTCGCAATTCCAAGGACCCCTTCACGAAGTTTTCTTGCTTGACAACGATGCAGACGATGTGCCTGGAAAGCTTGAGATGTACATCAAAAAGACTGCACCTTTCTTCTACGAGAGAGAAGCCTCTGAGGTCATGAGGCCCACACTGCTGCTTGCCTCAGAGTTGAGTCAGCAGAAGAAGGTATTTACTATTGCCCACGCTACTGTTTGAGGAAGCACAAGCTAAATGGTTACAGGATATCCTACTGGAGCGGGTGCTAGAACTCTGGGTCGCGACTCACATTCTCGTCGACTCAGATTTGCGTTGGAGAACATTCTATAACCCGACCCTTCCTCCTACTTCGATGCACGCTCTCGCGCAGCCATCGGATGATGGACGCATGCCGATCGACGAGGTCACCAACGCTGAGTCTTATGCACTCTTGTGCAGCCAATTACGCTCAGCAACCGAGAAGCGTGCCTCGCAACTGAGCAAGTCGGTAATGAACGACCTCGAACGGCGCCTGCTTCAGCGTCAGCAGAGTGGCTGGTTTGAGACGTTCTTGGTTGCCCTCATCCTCTTGAATTGTGTGGAGAGAACCTGCTGGCTGTTCCGCTCTTGGGAAGACGAGGCGTTTGCACAGCGCGTAAGTCTCTTTGAAGCTCTAGTTCTTAGATTGCATTGTTTTCTAACGCACCATAGTGGCCTCTGGACAAACGTCCTCCCTACTACGCAACCCAGGGCGATCGTTTCTCTGATATTCTGCATATGCTGCTGAAGATGCGCAGCCTGCCGCCCAAGGCAACCCCACGTCCCGACAATGGTATCTTGAAGGCGGTGGACGGTAGCGACATGAACGCAGCTCGCTGGTTTGATATGATTAAAGTTTCCCGTGAGTATACCACACACCACTGTACCCGGAACCACAGAACCTTAGCTTACAGGCAACACCACAGCTCTGTACCTTGAACAACGACAGGCCGCCGTCTTCGATCCCAACGACTCTCGCTCCCTTGATCTCCGCTACGGAGCAAAACTGTTGCCACCAACAAACGTTTACACATGATTTGCGCTGGTCCACAAACTGTGAACTGATGAAACCAAACGAACCAATGACTTTTGAAAAGATTGATTGAAGCCGGTTTTCCGTGATAGGTATTGTACTGGAACTGGGGTTTGAAGGAGGGTTTTGCAATGGAATTAGCTTGTTGAAAAAAGGGCATTTATGGGGTTTTTCTTTTTCTTTCCCCCTTTTATTTATTTCTCTTCTCTTCTTTTCTTTTTTTTTAACCTTCTCTTTGAAACCGAGCACCCAAGTGTAATCTACAGATTCCGTGTCTTCCTCCCGTGTCGATGCACGAATCCCCATGATTTCTAGTCCTAGCCATGAATGGAAAAATAATAATCATCCCCGCTGACCAAGCAGGGCGGAATCTCGAATGAGAAATATGGGTTCTTGGGGAATATAATAAGAATAAATATGGTATCGAGCATATATAACAAGTAGCTAGTAAACAAGAAATAAAAAGAAGAAGAAAGCCGAAAGAAGTATAGTACAAGAACAAAAATAAACCACAAGAGAGGCAAATACACGCCAAACACACAACTTCAGAAAGGTTAAACTCTAACATTGAATCAAGAAAGGAGAGAACCAAAGAACCCCGGGCAATTTATAGTAACGGATAATAGTCCACATCACTTGTCTGGGCCCCTTTCAGGGCATATTGTACATTCATCCCGTAGGATGGGGTGAACCGTCTTTAGGTGATTGCCCAGGGGTGTGGAGCAGGATGTCCCGTAGGGTCACGGTTATTTCGTTATTCTCGGGTTTGACTGTCGCTTGATTATTCTGAGGCGCAGAAAATGACGCCGGGGTAATAAAACTGTTGAACCCAGGTACGTCCGTACCTGAGTCGTCTGGCGAAAGAGGCCTGACATTCCCCGTTTCGGACGGGGATGCAGATGGTCCAATTGAGGGCATTGGTGTCTTGGCGGTTTGGTTATTGGTGTTTTCTTTGCAAGGGAGAGCCAGCATGGAAACCGGTTGATCGAAGAAACTTGAGTCGAATGCTTGCCCATCGAATATATTCGTGCTCAGGAGCAAGATATGCACGTTATATCGCTCGCAGGCTTCCGTTAGGTCTTTGAGGTACTCGTTCGATGGATCCTCTGAATATGTAAGAACTGGGCCCTGGGGGTTGTGGACGCAGAGAGGTTGGATGGGATTGGCACAGATGTGAGGGCCGTCTGTTGCTACGACTATGGCGTGGTAGCCCTTGTGTTTTGTGTCGTTGTAGCTTTTGACGTATGCGCTGTGGTTCCTTTGGTTAATCTACTGGCATGGTATGTAGAGCGAATAGAGTGTTATAGGGGAGATAACTTACTAGCTTTTAGTGGCAAACGAGATTATACTAGCAATTGTTTGCATGAGCACGGAGTCTTCGAAGAAAATGACTTCATCAGAAAGAGGGGAGGACGAGGACGGTCTACCCTCTCCGGTGAGAACCATCTTAAGGATATGGGATGCCTCGGATAATTGAAGAGGAAATCCTATGGGTTCATACCCACCGCTGGTCTTGGCGAAGTCGATGAGGAAGAATTTCCCTGCATATCGACACTATCGATGGTTAGTTCATGTTCGTTGGTGAAGAGGAAGTATATCGGCTCACAGTCATTCCTGCCATGGCTTATTGAATGATTTTGAATCAGGCCTCTTCCAGAGCACAAGAATCATGGCATGAAACACGTGATGAAATGGTTGATATGAGAAATAGACAGAGGAATGGCTGTGTTTTATATTAGAGGGTGAAAGCAACACAGGTGAATAACACTCTGTAGGAATTTCCATGACATTGAAAAGCCTAGACCTCTGTGATTCACCACTGTGGATACAGCCAATAGAAACAGTAAAAAATAAGACCAGTGAATAGAAGCAGCAAGCGGGATATCGGAGAATATCTAAAACTACCAGTCTTGGGAACTGGTTGACTCATCCATCCAATAGCAAAAGGAGGGAAGGGGGCAAGAAAGAAATGGCACCAAATCCAATTCCCTCCTAACATTCACCAAATAGACTATACAAAGAAGGGGAATAACCCAGTAAGAACAAAGCCAACACACCATCATCAGTCATAATACAACATAAAGCGCATAATACAAATAATAGTGCAGTCTTTTTCATAGAGCCACTATCGAGTCCGGGGGCTGTGAATTCCCTTGCACCTGCTCTAACACTACTGCGTAGTATTTCCCCTCTTCGGAGGTATCATGGTAAGGCCCGGCGCCCATAATCGACCTGTCTCCATTAGAATTGCTATGTTTTTATGCCGTTCGGGTATAGGGCAGAAGACAACGTAGAATACACACCATCCTTTATACTTCGGTTGGTTAAAGATATCTGTGAAAGCCTTTAGAATACGCAACGGTAATTCTAGAATCGAAGGGAGTTCCGGTCCAGGCCCACAGATGGGAAGACCCAGCTTGTTGACAGGGAGGTAAACGACCTCGGCGGTGTTTTGGGGATTGCGGGCTTCTTGAAAGATGAGAAGACGGCGGGATGGTGGTGGGGCCATTTTTTTTTTCTTTCTTTTCTTGTTCTTTTCCCTCTATTTCTGCGGTTGAGTCTTGCGATTGATTGATGTATTTTGTAGGACCTGTGTCAATGGTTCTTTCCCTGTTGCGCGTACGGGGGGTGTATAAGTTATGCGCGCTCCAATAGAAGCACAGGATCGCGTGGCGCAAATGATCGTTTGTCGTTAATCAAACAAACTCGGTAATCGTTGATATTATCGATAAATATGCTGCAGCCGCGATCCCGCTTATCGCTTTCGGTTGATCTGTGCGCAATTGAGTGCGGGATGGAACCCCTGAAGGCGGGGCAACAAATAGGAGAATGAACCAGTTTTTGAATCAATCTCAAGAAGATCCAAGCAATACACGAAATGGATATATGATGGAACGATGAAACGGATCGAAGGGGTCAATCAATTCTATAAAGAGTAAATCGCGTCCGGCCGCGTCGGCACGTGTTCGGGTGGGGGAAGCGCTTACTTTCATTCGACCATTCTATGACTAGTAGTAGAGGTTTAATGAAGCAGGAAACAACTCGAAACCACGAAAATGGCTTCTCGGCAAGCTTCTCACAAGTTGAACATGGCATATATATACACACATTGCAAGTACAGCATCGAACAAAGAGATAACGTTCGAGAATATCAACAGCTGGGTATCAAGTATCAAAAGAAATCATGTAGATCAACTGTCGCGTGCGAAAACAACGCTAGAAAACACCGTCAACTCTGGGCCTCCAGGACCAGCTATCTTCGATGTAACGCATAGAATGTCCAACACATGCAAATAAAGCAATTCCCTCCGGAAATGTCCTACGTATCGAGCTCTCCATCAAGTACACGTCGAGCAGCATCCAATCGCCGTCTCAGTTGACGTACGCGCTTGGGGTCTGGATCGGAGGAGGTTGTAATTGTCTGAAGATCCATGCAAACATCGCCCAAGCTCTTGAACAACTGTTCTAAGAGGCGCGTGTCATCCTCGTTGATTCCCATGTTGCCATTGGCCACGGACTTGGGATGGGGACTGGACGCCGCCCGCACAGTGGATACGAGGGAGGACACCAGAGATGTCGGAGTTGCAGACCCAGTCATAGATTGCCGGGGAGTCGAGAGATATTCATCCTCATTGCTCCTGCTGTTCAGCTGTCTTCGGACCGCGCGAGGCGTTCCCATCTCTGACTCGGAGCCAGTTGAGTGCCGCTTCTCAGCCGCAGGTTCAGAAGTATAGCGCTGATTGCTACGTAATTCTAATACCCTGTTAGTCTCTGGTGTATTTGACTTCTCAGCGGGTAGTAGACTCACCATCATTAAATTTCCTATCCCAATAGAGGACACTTTCAAGGTCGTCGTGGTCTCCTTCAGTCGCAGTCTCGTACGATGCTACGGTCGACAGAGATGCTCCGCTGTTTGTGCGAGAGTGACGGACGTGAGGGCGATCATGGATAGGCCGCGTTGTTTCGATAGACGAAGTTGAGACATTACTTGTTCTCCTTAACCTGGCTGAATAATTGCCCAGGGCACTGTGAAGGATGAAATTCTCGTAGTCAAATGCATCTTCACGTTCTTCATGAGGTCGAGAGTCAGAATTTGGGACTGCGGGAAATGCGTCCAAGTCCTCAAAGTCCTCCAGAGGCTCGCGCAATATCTCACTCAAGGCCTCACGGTCGATGTCAGAAGAGTCGTCGGAGTTGTATTCGCCTTCCTCTGCATCTTCGTACAAGCTCTCAATGACCGATTGCCCATCTTCGTCCACGGGTTCGACGACCTTTGGTTGCGGGGGTTTTACATTAGCATCAGATGTCTCGCTTCCGTAATGGCCAGTGACAGCCTCGTTGCCATCTCGTGTGTGTCCATGCTCTCCACTGCGTCGGGGCTCTTGAGTGTAATCTGGACTCCGTCCCGCGCCGGGTCGCAGATGACTGTCTCGTAGCTCCAGTGTATTGGTGAAGTACTGATCTGCCGCCGTCAAAGGACTGGGAGTCCGCAGACTCTGTAAGCTACGTCGACGTAGGTTGTCTTCCTGTGCTTTCACTTTCAGACTGGAGATTTTGATGTGCAGACCCTTCATCTGATCTTGGAGATCTCTCACTTGTAGCTGAGACTGTGACCGAGATGGAGGATCAGAAACAGGGTGGACCGAATGGATATCCTCTGCGCCTAACGTTTGATTCCCTGTATCTTCCTCTGAGATGCCCAGCCCACTAGGTGAACCCGAGTAGTCTTCCTGCAAGTTCGAGGGAGAAGTACGAGCAGAGTGTGGCGTTGACACAGACGCACGGTGCGTAAGATACGCCCTGTTTGGGTCATAGCGGAATGTTCGCTCAGCATTGTTGAAGTTGGACACACTGCTCGATCCTAGAGCACTGAGAGACCTGGACAAGTCTGGTTCGACAGTTGGGAGACTTGATTGGTCTGCTGATGGCAAACGTGTTTCGCTATACACCCGGGAATGACGATTGCTACCAGTGTCCTGGGATGAGGTATATGTTGCACGAGGACGAGTCGATGTTCTGCGATCCGCACGGGAGATCGATTGATACAAGCCGCCAACTGGTTGGCCCAACCCTATTGGGGACGGCGTTGGCGAGACCGAAAGTGATGGCGATGTCCGCATCGAAGTCCGAGCCCGAGTCAAGTTGCCTTCCATGAGCTACAATGATACACGTCAGTTCAAGTTCCATGAAGCAGCAACCCACTCCGTGCCTCTGCTTAACATACCGTGAGCCGTTTCTTTGCATTCTCCAGAATCCTTTCAGCTTCACTGCTCAGAATCACCGATGATAGCTCATCACCGGGGCCTCCTGCCTCCGTATTCGCTACTACTCTGCCAATGGCATTCTCCTTCATGATGCGAACAGCTTCGTTTAACTGCGCCTGGTCTAGAGCACGATCCTCTTGCGGAGTTCTCTGTCCGCTCTGGCGATTTTTGGTCCCCTCCAATGAAGACTCACTCGCGCCACTGATTGTAGAACTAGACGAGCTACTGCGCCCTCCTGTTTCCTTGGCCTCCGCGTCCTCTACCGTGCGCTGCGAGGCTGGTGAGCCTGCCTGTCGGCGGTTATGCGTGACTTCCAGGTTCGGCCCAAATCCGCTTACTGACGAAGTTGACGACATATCCTCCTCCCCGATATCAGACAGGCGACGACTCGCTTCAAGAGCATCGTGTTGCCAAGTGTGACGCGGAAAAGGCTTTTTCTGGGATCGGTGAGAAGCCATGGAAGCGCCATTTCCATTGTAATCTTGGGGAAAAGGTCGGTTGTTGTAGAACGATTGGAGATGGGACAGGGAAGGGAGGTTGAATGGCGGAGAAGGCGTGGAAGATTCGCGCTCGTCTTCAAACGGCAGGATCATATCCGGGTTGGATAAAGTCGGCGACGGTGGAATCGCCGGCGGAGGCGGCCTGTGATGCCGCGCATCCTCCATAGAGGAACCGTGTAACATGCTTCCAAGTTAAATCTGGAGGTTCGTGCTCAACGGCGTTCAAAGGTAACTCGGAAGCGTGTGGTGATGTAGTTCGCGGGTCGAGAAAAACCACCAATTAAAGTAATGTCATGGGTGAGAACGTGCCCGAGTCTGAAGAAGGGCTAGAACTGCGCGTTACTGGAATCGAGGGATGAGTTTAATTCATAAGTCGAGGTGAAATTTAACTGCCGTCGCAATGCAAACCCCAAGGCCAATGCGAATCCCAGTCAAGCGGGACAGGGCAGACGGAATTGAAAAAAAAAAAAAGATAAAAAAAAAAAAAGACAAAAGATAAAAGCAACGAGACGCGACGAGGATTATTAGGATTAAGAATTAAAATTAACAACTAAGAAATAGATAACAGAGGTAATTAGTACAACAACAGGAAGCGATGGAAGGCAACACAGAGAAAAGAAAGACAGCTGACACGCAGCCACCAGGCCCGGGTGAAATTGGGGGAGGAAAAAAAGGTAATAGTTAGTATTATTGTTTCGTTTTGAACTAGTGGTGTTATTTATTCTTTCTCTTTGGCTCTTGTTGTTTTGACCCTGACCGACTGGAGTAAATGAAAAAAGAGCCATAATTTTTCGTCGTTTCTGGCTGCCAGACCCAAAGAGGTAAGGATCGGACCTGTGGGGAGTGTCCACCGCGTTCATAAATGGAAGCTCTCTTACCGAAATTGTTCTAACTATCGACCCTATCTTGGATGTTGGGGAAGGGGTGGGAGTCCCTCAGGAGGGTGAACCGAGATGACTTGCAATCAGAGAGGAGAGTTGCATACATAACACTGCCCTGCATTGTCCACACAAGGGTACAGGCGCGAAGAATTCATATCTAATACTAGTAACAAGGAATAATATTAAAACAAGCCACTGGACGAACCTTAAATCACCTGCAGGCGGAGATCATCATTTCAAGAGATGCTCATGCTCACTTCGATGGCACCATGTAGCAAGACGAATCCTGCGCGTTCTTTCGTTTCTTTCATGCATGACACTTGCACTATTCCAGCGTCTCTTTATTTATTTTTACGTTTCTTATTTTTTATTTTCTCTCTTGACCATGTTTGATTACTACCTTATGGTTATTTTCCGTGACTGTTCTGTACCTTGAGTGGTTTGTACCCCTGAATGCCTCGGGGCTGATCCACGGATGCCTTAGGGTTGTCGTAACTCGTTCCAATGGTTCCGCGATGCCTTTAGCCGGGCCGCGGTGCAGATATACATCTTCGAGAAGTTTCCCTCTAACACACTGTAAGAGAGATATTACAATTCGCCTGGTGCTAGCGCCCTCAGCTATACGCTACTTATTACCGCCCTATTATATTTTATCCAAACAAGCCTTCAAAGAGTAACTAGTAGTGCTTCGTAGATATCAGTCGATTACGTTGAGGTCATTCGTACTGAACGGGAAGGAAACAAATGGATTGCTTTTTGATGACTTCATGGCCCTATACTCCCAGACCCTATACAGATAATAAATGCCAGTGCAAAGATATATCACAAAGTGAGAACGGGAAAGATTGAATTCCCAGAACCAATCATTATCCCAACCAATATTATACGGGATTCACTCGTCACCCGTCAAAAGATAGGCCAACACAATTCATCGAGTCTAGATCTTTTCCAGGAGCAACTTAGCACCGCTGCTGGTTGGGCCTGATTTCTTCTTGCTATCCTTTCCAGACTCGGCAGCGGCCTGTTGCAGAGCCTTCTTGCCCTTCTTCAAAGTCTTCAACAATTCAGCTTTCTTCTCAAACTCATCGGATTCCGTCAGGGCCACGACCACAAACACATTGGATCCGGTGGCCCATGACATGATCTCTTCCTGGATTTGTTCATACAGCAGTCCGTGGAAGTTCAATGGAGGCTGCACCTTCTCTACAACCTTCTCGGTACTGTTGAACCGACCTCCTTGAACGAGGGACTTCAGGAGTCGTCCAATAAAAGGCAAATCCTTGGTGTCAGAACGAGTTTTGGCAGCAACAGCAACGGCGGAGAGAGCGTCACTCTTGTCTCCATCGGCGTCAAAAAGAACCTCGGCAATGAACTGACATCCGAAGCTCGTCTCCAAGAGAGTGTCTGCGCGGGCGGCGATGAGCTCAAGCAAGGTTGGTGACGCAGCCTTGATCAGTTCTTGGCGTCGGACAGATGGGTCCTTCTTCGAAGTCTCCTGGCGAACTTCACGAACTTCCTTCAAGACTGGCTGATCGACTTCGGGCAAAAGCCACTTGGCCCGGTCTCCCACAAATGGAAACAGGATAGCGATACGGCCAGTCAAATCGTTGACCTGATAGAGTAGCTCTTCATTGCGTGCCTCCGCGTCGCCGCCTTGGTTCAGTAGCTCCGGGAAGATCATCTTCGCTGTAAGCTTGGTGTCGTCGATAACTTCATATGCTGCCAAGAGAACCATATGGCCGTGGAGGTCACCAGCCATTAGCTTGACGGTGTCTTTGTAGAACCGCATAAGCAGCTTGCGGTCTTTGGCGCTGGCATACGCCAAGCTCAGGCACATCAAGCGCGAGCCAGACTGGGTAAACGCCAAGTTCTTGACCAGATCACCTTCTTCGTCACCCTTGAGCAGCTCGATAAACTCATTGGCCTCCGAGCTGCCAGGCTTTGTGTTCAGGAAATATTGCAACATGGCATCATGGAGCATTGTGAATCCAGTGGTACGCTTCTGGATCAGCTGGTTGACAAGTTCGTGAAGGAAATGCATGATAGGTCCCCTCTTCTCCGGGCTCTCTTTAAGAATCTCGGAAAGCTCTGATGTCTTATCTTTCTCCTCCTTGAAGATACCGAATTCAGCACCATACCACTCGCGAAGAAGTTTTGCTTTCTGCTCCTTCGTCGCAACCTGCCGGTAAACATCGTCCAGAATCCAAGATGCTTCCGGGTGTCGGATGAGGCGCTTGACGTGACCGTAGAACTCTGGGATGATCAAGTCCCGAATCTCAGCATCGCCGTGGACGATCAGTTTACCAATCAAGAACTTAGCATAACGGCTCTGCGCAAGCTCATTGTAGTGACCCTTCAACTCTCGCGCAATCTGCTTCCGTTGCTCGATATTTGCGTACTTCAAGGCAGTCTGAATAACACGGACTGAATCGTGCTTGAAGACGAAGTCTCTCACTCGTCCAGTGATGATATCAAAAAGCTCGGCAATGAGTTTCTTTCTCTCTTCAAGTGGGACATGTGACTTTCGGCGCAGACGCTCCCACAGCTGCTTAGAGCGTTGAATCATATCGGCGTTAGGCTTTGCGGCTTTGCGCTCCTGCAAGAGAGCCTTTTGCTTTGCATGCGATTCCCGTGAGGATGTCTTGTCTGCAAGAGGTGAACAGTCAGCTTGATATCCAATATCTCGGGTGAAAAGCCTCATTATCATACTTTCCGCAGCCTTCTTCGGCTCTTCCTCCTTCTCTTCGTCTTCATCATCGTCGTCACCCCCGTCATTCATATCAACATCCTCGTCCTCGACATTATCCAGGTCATCAATTTCCGAGTCCTCAACATCGTCCAGATCGAAATCATCGTCATCTTCCTCCTCCTCTTCGACCTTCTTCTTTGAAGCTTTCTTATTCTTCTTCTCGGGCTTTGAGCTCTTCTTTGTCACGCTCTTTGAGCTGGATTTCTTCTCAGGCGCAGCCTTAGCTTTCTTCGTCGGCACGGTTGGTGTCTTGGTCTTTGTCCGCTTTCCCTTGCGCTCGTCGCCGGCGTCCACAGGACGCTTTACTCCGACCATGATTCTGTCAGTTTCTTGTATCCGCTTTTTTTTTTCAGTTCCAAGAAATCTGGAATTGGATATTTGAGGACTTTCTGGCGAGCGAATTCGGTACGTCACCCGCTGGAAATTTCCTTTTCGTTTGAATTACCGCTTCGGACATTTCTTTTTTTTTTTTTTTTTGCGCTCCGAAGACCTGGGGCGGTCGGCAAGTTTGTCTTGTTTGCATTTTACTGATAAGCCCTCTGCGTCCCGATAAGCAACTGTATGTATGTACCTCTTACGGAGTATGGGTGGCGAAAGAAAGGCATTGGGGATAAAAAATTTTTCTGGAGCTTGAACTCTATTGTCTCAGTATAATAAAGAAAATCATACAATCAATTAGACCGTAGGTATGCATAGCAATGGTGTTTAGGCCATAAACGCACAAGAATCCAAATCGAAGCGCATATATTAGTCGTCGATCGGGAAGAAACCCTGATCAATGGATCCCCCGAACGCCTACCCCATTCATTACTCAATATATATCATGGTTGCGAGAACCTCACGCATCGCGTAATTCCGACTCTACAGTTGGTGGTGACTTCATAGATCCCAGCTCTGATCCTACGTTGCTCTGTCCTCGTTTTCTGCCCGGGATGTGAAAGCCCAGTTTAGAGTTGCTTGATGTCTGGCTATCATTTGTGAAGTCGCCAAGTCGTGAGAATAAGCCTTTCTTTTTCGGTTTGGATTCGTTGTCGTCGTCGAGTCCAACATCCTCGAATTGTTCTTCTTCCATCGATGTGGGTTGCTTTTCCAGGCCCTTTGCGTAGGGGGTTGATAGACGGGAGAAACGTGAGTCAAGCGACGTGCGAGAGGGCATTGCGTCGCTATAATTTATAGGTGATCGGGCAGATATATCCTGGGATTAAGTATGCGTCAGATCCTCGAACATCCGCCGGGGTGGGCAAAAGACTCACGAACGACCGGCGATACGAATCGAAGGACTCGCGGGATATTGAGAACGGCTCATTCTCGTCGACGAGGTCGCGATGGTTCGAGGATCTATTGGAGCCCGGGTACCTGCGCCAGAAGCTCTGTTTTTCCGGCGGAGATGGCTATTGGTAGATGTTTAGCCGCAGCGCAACGATGCAATCACCAGCACGTGGTTGTGGAGGGGATCGTAGATTTACCGGAAGATACGCTCCATTATCGTCGACCACTGTTTTTCGCGAACAAGTATTAGCGACGTCTATATCCACAGCGAGGAGAAGAGAAAACATGCCACTCAATTTATATTCAGGCGGTTCATTGTCGGTGCTTTTCCTAATATTCAAGGGCGTTGAGTGATGGCTGTCTGCGGACAAGCGACTAACGTTATCGGCTTCCCCGCTATTCGGTAGCGCGGGCTTTTTGGTGAGGAAGTTGCGGAACGGGGTCATCTTTGGAAGAGGGAAGTCTTGCGGGAAATTTTAAATTGCGTAAAAGGTAATCGCTCTACCCTGCCGAGGCGACAATGGGTACAGAGGGTGAGGTAGAGAGGGTTTAAATGGATCGTACGAGTGGTCCAAGTCAAGAGACGCAACCTCACATGATCGGCGCCTCGGCGGCCGTACAAATAATGAAATGGTGATTTATCCGTTTGATGGAAGGGAATGGCTATCCCAGCAGGATAATTCATCTAATGTAAATTAAGGACCCACTAGCCAAGTGTGGGGGGCAATTGGATTGGTTGGTTTCGTTGTGAACTTCATAAAATGCTCGGCGAATGGAGTATAGGGTAGTACAACCTTGAGCTTACTACAAGCAAGCACTCTAGATCTACTGTTTTTCTCGACAACAAACGTATCAGCTGTACTAGAGGAGACGTCACTGTTTAAAAACATGTGGTAATGCAGTTGGTTGCGGCTCTTTGGAAATCTTACACTCGTTCCCTGGGTATGGTCCAGTCATTCAGAAACATAACTTATTAGGGCTTCAAGTTTTACTATACTACTGGTAACTTGAAAAAGCTTCCAAGTTACTACCTAGCATTTGCCAGCTCTGATTATGAATTTATTACCGCTACACAGTATCACTCATACCTCCCATTGGTCCCTTTCAAGGATTTGGCAATACCTACGACGATGTGTTGACTCATTCGTTGGTGTAGAGGCAGTGTCAGGGCTCTACGTACTTATTACCCAAAGGCTTCCTCTACATCTTGAGCTGTAGAGATGACACAATATTGTCATCTATACAGATTTTTCACGCAGCTGCCTACGCCATCAACTACGGTAGCGAGAGCTATGCTGTCATTGTAATGAGAGTATTTATACCGTCCCTCGCCCACCTTTTTTCACTCTTCATTCTTCTTCTTCACCACCTGCAACTTTCTAGCATACCTCCAACCAATATCAGCTACCTACAGACACTTCTCTCTTCTCATCAAGTTACATTACCTTGTTATAAAAACAACCTGTTCAAAACAAAATACTTTGCAACTGTCAAAATGGTCCGTCTTCTTTCCTTCACTCTTCTGGCTGCTGCCACTGTCGAGGTAGTCTCTGCTGCTGCTCTGCCCACTCCACCGAGGCCCGCTGAAGTTACCATTTGGCGTCGTAATGATGGCCCTCTCAGCACCATAGCAGCAACTGCAGTTGAGACAGCCTTTCCAGCTGAGAAGACACCCACTGAGATCGAGGATGGGGAAGATGTCCCCAATGACGACACAGTTACCGGTGAGGATGATGATGTCTTCACCGACGGTTTGCACTGGCGCCGCAGGGGCAAATGCCGCTCTGATCTGGACTGCGATCTTGGCTACCTGTGCACTAGTGGCCGTTGCACTCTTGGCTGCCTGGCTGATAAAGACTGTCGCCGGGGACAGACATGCATGGGTGGGCAATGCCGTACTGCAGGCGGAGTCAACCCTCCTGCATGCAAGCCTTACAAGCAGCTATGTGCTGCCAATGAAGAATGTTGCTCAGGTGTCTGCCGCCTGGGATGGCGCCTGACAAGGGTGTGCAAGCATAACAAGCACTGAGGTGTCTTGTATAAATGGAGGAATGAGATTATTCCGCCGTGAGGAGGGAAAAGGCGACCAAATTGACATGTTGATGAGGTTTCTTTGATTGTTTAACTCATTTTGATGTTTAGTATTGGTTTACTAAAGTTGTTGATTTGAACGAGAGTTTGGAGGAGGATGTGTCTCAAACATGATGGAAGAAGTGGATGATATGGAAAAGGTTGTTCATGTTTGTTTTTCTAAGATTTAAAGCAAGGAAAACACACACAAAAGACAAAAAAAAGCAAAAAAGGGCTTTTAACCACTAAACCTTGTGCCCACTGTAATCTCAACACATTAGGATACTTTTACACATAGTATAAGAAAGACTGTAACTTGGACTATATTTTGAAGCAATCTGGTTTCCATTTAATCTGTTATGGATAACTTAGTGGGAGGTCAGCCGCTAAGACGATAACCTTGCTTCGGTTCTCCACACCAGCGGGACCGGTGCCTGGTACGAATCCTGGGGTCGTCGTTGTACTCGTGCGAGTAATCCACGATCGCTGCAACGCGCTAAGCAATGGAGATGATTCTTGAGGGAAGCAATTCTGCAGAGACATCTCCACCCTGGGGTGGCGTCGCCAGAACACACCGACCTGTTACAGGGAAATTGGCTACTTGGCTGGACAACTACATCTCTCTTCTTTTTGTTCTTTTTTCCCCCATCACTCCTCCCTCCTGTTGTCTTCTTTTTATCTTAGCAATACATCAATATCTTCTTTCCCTCATGCCCACTTCTCCCAAGTCCTTTTATTTCCTCACCACCTCTGCCTGTTTCTTACCTTCCGTGTTCTTCCCCTGTTGACTTGGGATCCCCTCGGTGATCCTAACAATAAGAATACCGTTTATATTGAACCTCATATCTTGAAAACAATTCTTCTTTCTATAGGCCTTAATAATTCTCACCCATCGTATCACCATAAGCCACTTTATTACCCTAGCTTCACACGTAGTTCGCTAATATGAACCCCCATGACATAAAATAAATATTTCAACACAAGAGCAAGTGTTGCTCAGACGTGCTTTCCATGGTTCAATGTCTTCCTCGCCTCGCCTTTGCACTTTCCACCAGTGTACCTGCAATTATAGTGTCACTATGGCAGCTGGCTTCCTGCCTTGACTCACCTTTATTGAGAACTGGATCTGCACTATAGCCTTACGAGTATCCCTCCCCCAACCACAGCTTTCCTATCCACCACTAGATGAGGTTGACCGGACAAGAGCCGTCATCCACATATTAGCCAGTCAGTGTATCATGCAATCTCCAGTACTTACTTCTAATCGCTGTCTCAGGACTAATCCCAGACCTTGCCCGTTAGCCAAATTCCGGATTCACTATGCGGTTTTGGGTGGATTGGGCACTGTGGCAGAAGCTTAGTCTTGTACGGATACAATGACTGCATATATTGAAACTGAAGCATTGCTAATGACAGGCTTATATAGGTGCTCGCCAGCCTTCTCGTAATGTGATAAACCCCACGGTCCTAGGGTCACTACTAATATGGCAAGCAAGGTTCTTGTGCTTATTTATTCGCTCTGCATCCTTTTCTACAACAGATGGGCCACCAGGAAACACGCTGCTGCAGATGCTCAAAAGACAATACAGGATGCAGAGCAACGCCCGATGTTGTCAGAAACAAATGAAGTGCCATTCGGTGCTAGAGCTTTAGAGCGAGGCGTTCTTGTGGAAGGCATATGGACACCAGGCCAGGTGTCTCCTATAGAACCCAATACGCCGACCAGGCACGAAAGCGCTGGACCGGCCCTAACGCAGCTGCCTCCTAACCCAGCAAGTATGGTACAGAGGCCTTCTCAGACATACATGCCGGTGTCTTTATCAGGCCAGTCTGGTCCAAGGTGGGCTCCAGCAGTTTCCGACATCAGGGCCGAATCGTCGGATAGTCTTTACCCCAACGCTCTGCATGCAAACAAATCTCGCCAGTCAGAGGTACAACTTGTTGGTAGCCATCATGATGTTGTCGACTCAGATGTTGCCCGATCAAAGGTACGACTTAGTTCTTGTGGCTCATGGATCAACAAGCCTTTTGACAAGCGATTGCCAGCCGTTGAAGGCAAGTCCATGACTTTATTCTAGTTCGCGAGAGCAGGAATGTATAGGAGGGTTGGGGTAACGAGTTGAGGAAACTGACGAGCTCCTGTAGGAGCTCATCCGCGGACTTCTTCCGAAGAGTTTAGGCGCAGGATTAGCAAATTGTTCGACGAAAACGTCCAGGCACGCCCAATCGAAATGTTTCAGTTGCAATCCGATTCCTCAGAGTCCGTTAATGGTCACCAAAAGGAACTCATCCCAGACCCATCGATGCATAGACCAAACCATGCGATCCACTGATTGAATAATTCCATCGTTTACTTTCCCCAAAAAAGGGATTATATGTTATTATCAATTGGTCATGTAACCTACCCCAGAGCATAAATGGTCAGGCTTGACGGTCTTCATTGCTTCTTGTTAGATCCAGACATCTGTCACGCTGGCCTTGCCTCAACTGCGCTCTGAGAACCTCTACGACTGTTAATGATCATTCAACCGTGAGGATGAAATGTAGAGGGTTTCCTAGGCGATACGACTGTACTGTTAAAATGGAACAATGCTCGGTGTATCGGTCGATAACCGTCAAGAGACTTTCTGGACTAGATGAAGAAGACTCAATAAAAAAAGCTCATGACCTACACATGAACCCCCCCAATATATTTCCTTTCATTATTGTTCTAATATAGCGTTGCGTAATTGTAGGCTTTTCTCTAAGGCAGCAGCCTGATATGCCTGGCCCACGTGACCTCGTGACGGCTTCGACGCGTCCAAATCCTCAACAGATTGTTTATCGCCGCATAGTCGGACGCTATTTTGCCACATCGATCGACTGCAAGTTTTAAATGAGACATCTGTTGTTTCCAAACTGGTGGCTACCGAACAGTCCTTGAGGTATTTGTCCGATAAGAGGCACCCCTAACGCAGAATCTACCCACATTCACAATAGAACGCGTACTGTCGCGTCGATTAGACTGTGTGCAAGACCAGTAGTAGTTGCTTGCTATTACTCTTGGGGCTGGCTAAAGAGGCACTTGACCTGCCTACCTGATTCACAATGACAGCCGATATGGATACTCAGAATGAGTACGATGATAGTGGACTCCCGGGGCCCGGAGCGCCCACGCCACTTTCAGCTTTAGAAGTGAGGAATCTCTACTTTCCACGTTATGCAACATTACAAGCTTGATATAGTAGTAAAAAGTCCTCTCAAGGTCTCGTACTGATTATGATTTGATAGGGTGTTGCAGGATTAACGGGAAGAGATATCAAATTGTTTGTCGATGCCGGCTATCACACTGTCGAATCAATTGCGTATACGTACGTCTTTCCTCTCGAATGCTCAAACGAGCTTGCTGCAGCACCAAATATGGAGAATTTAAGATGATGCTGACATTGGCGTTGGTGGTATATTATAGGCCAAAGCGTTTACTGGAACAGATCAAAGGTATCTCGGAGCAGAAGGCTACCAAGGTTTTGGTTGAAGGTTAGTAACATCCACTCATGGAGTCTAATCATGTGTAAGGATGTATGCTGATTATCTTTGATAAATAGCTGCCAAGCTTGTGCCGATGGGTTTCACGACTGCAACGGAAATGCATGCTCGTCGAAGCGAGCTCATATCGATTACGACAGGATCTAAGCAATTGGATACTCTTCTAGGCGGCGGTATAGAAACAGGATCTATTACCGAGATATTCGGAGAATTTAGGACAGGTAAAAGTCAGATTTGCCATACGCTTGCGGTAACTTGCCAGCTGCCATTCGACATGGGTGGTGGGGAAGGAAAGTGTCTCTACATTGACACCGAAGGGACATTTCGACCAGTGCGTTTGTTAGCAGTTGCTCAACGGTACGGGCTTGTCGGAGAAGAGGTGCTCGATAATGTGGCGTATGCCCGCGCTTATAACTCAGATCACCAGCTCCAGCTTTTGAACCAGGCGTCTCAAATGATGTGCGAAACTCGTTTCTCGCTTCTTGTTGTCGACTCGGCTACATCGCTGTATCGGACAGATTTCAACGGCCGTGGTGAGCTGTCAACTCGACAGACACATCTGGCCAAATTCATGCGTACCTTGCAGCGCTTGGCGGACGAATTTGGGATTGCCGTCGTCATCACAAACCAGGTCGTCGCCCAGGTCGACGGTGGTCCGAGTGCGATGTTCAATCCAGATCCCAAGAAGCCAATTGGTGGAAACATCATCGCACACGCCAGCACGACCAGATTGAGCCTAAAAAAGGGGAGGGGGGAGACCCGAGTGTGCAAAATCTATGACAGTCCCTGTCTGCCCGAGAGTGACTGTCTTTTCGCCATCAATGAAGATGGCATTGGGGATCCTAGTCCCAAGGATTTGGAAAACAACTGAGGAATGATGCAGCTGTTTTAGTTACTTATGATACCACGATCGGTATACGTTTTATTTGGCTTGTTCATTAGTACATATTGTTTAGTATCTTGATTTTGATAGCATATGGTGTTTGTGGCATTTTGTTAGATATTATGCGTTACGTGGAATAAAAAGAATTATCAGTACAGCCAAACAAAACATACTTTGTATATACGAAGAGCATATGGGGTCTTTCTTGCAACAATACTAATCATTTTAAACCGATTGCTCTCTCCTTCTCTTCCATCAAATCTGTAGATCTCCGAAGGCGGTGGATGCGCGTTGCTAAGGCCAGCGCCAAGACCGTGTTTTTTCTGAACAGAGCTTCGGAGCTTCCCTCCTCCAACTCCACGGGCTGCGACATTCCACTTTCTTGCGACAATCGGCCATGGAGACTTGAAGTGACCAATTTTACAGATTAATGGAAGTTGGTCCCTCGTTCATCCGACATGGCGAAAATTTATAAAGATACCAAGGTCGACCTTCGACCGTATTCATCGAACGCCGTCGTCAACATTCAGATCCCAACACATGCGAGTACGCAAAGCCGAGCACGATTCTCTATAGCCTCCTCTGTGGGCGCAGACGAACCGATAGCGAAAGACGAGGAAGAATTCTCTAGACGGTATCTTTCGAGCCAGGGGTCAATCTATTTTCGCAAACGCAGTGTCTATCCACGATCGTTTCTATGGAGGGTTGTCAATGACAGCAAGGTGCTGGAGATCCAGTGTGTTGATTTAACGAAAGGCGGTATCGATCATTCAGTATACAGCAATACCATACGCTTAGATTTCCAGGAAGAGATCCTTCCTTCATGCGTTGACTTCGCAGACTTGGAGGATCATGAAGTGCTGAGCGTTTTCGTTGTTACTGCCTCCAAGCAGCTTTACACCTTGAGCTTGCGTCCCGAATTTTTCCGCAGAACAAGCGCGATTGACAATAATGTCTCGGACTGGTGCAAGATCTATGTACCGGCGCCGTTGTCGTTCTCCTACCCCCACCGATTGCATGCTAGCAGTCCGCTCGAGCTATTCATCTCCCTCGATAACGGCGCGCTTCTGCGCCTAACCCGCAGGTCTGGTGATGATGGTAACCCTCCATGTTTCGCCCTAAATTTAGTACAGGGGAATTAAAAATGCTAACACAAATGACTTCCAGGCTCAAATTGGTCTCCTCTTACCTTCGACGAGAGAACTTGGGGTGCCTCTATCCGTGGATTGGTAAGGTGGCACGCGCAACCTACAGTTAAATACAAAGGACGCAATCTCGACACAAACCTGGCAAATGCGATCGCTACGACATCGGATCAGACTTACGCTTTTGCGGTCTGTTTAAATCACACTCTAAAGATTTGGAACCTAGCTACGAACAAGCTAGCTGCCACAACTGACCTGTTAGGCCGTGAAGTGCAAGAGCCAGATTCGTCGTCATATACATTGAACCCAGCTGATTCATCCTTCATTCGGGTATTCAACGTTGAGAGAGCGCTGGACGGGGCATACCGGTATTATGTTATCACATATTCACCTTTTGAGGATGGGCGTTTCAAATTCTGGGCTGTAAAGGGAGGCTTGACATCACCGCTCGTCATCGAAGATCTATTCCCAGATGCTCCTTTGCGGCCCTTGGACCCTGATTCGACCGGGAATGTGTTCTGGAGTATTATAGATTTCCAGCTCAAGCCGGCTGAAGAAGGGAAAGGAATGGAACTGTGGGTTCTCTGGAGAAACAGCGGCGTCTATCAGCTTTACACCTTACATTTCAATTTCGAAACTCTAGTGAGAGATTGGGATACCAATTGGGTGTCGACGGCGATCGACACTCGCGGACAGGAGGCTCCGCCGCCTATGGCATTCACTGATGTGGTGGACCCAACAGAGAAATGGTTGAAGTTCCTTTTACAACCCAACAAATACTCGCCAGAGGTGCTTGAGACTTCCTTAGCGGTTTACCAGGAGGCTCTCCGGCCGCTCTCTTCCCCCAGCATCCTAAAGAAAAGTGCTTCACTTACGGAACGACTTTGCTCTACGATCGCTGCCACGGTATCACTTCGGAAGTATGCCGATGACGAGATGGACTTCACGAGGTATCGCACGGATACAGACGCAAAGTGGCGCCAGTTTTGGCAAATTGCGGATGATATCAACAAGAGGCGATTCGAGCCTGTTTCTCTTCTCTATGATACCTACTATGAGACTCCATGGCTACTTCTCTCAGATAGCTGCGCAGTGATTAGGGAATGCAGCTCAACTGAGTTGCTTTTGCACAACTCGGGAGCTGAGCTGCGCGCTGAAGGACACAAAATTGCGGATCGCTGGAGGCACAGGAACCTGGATGAGGAGATTGGAAATATGTTCGAACAAGCTTCTCGACTGATGACAGTTGCCTCTGGGTTCAGGAGAAGATTTCCATCTGAACTCAACGCAGCTTGTCAAAATGCTCTTGAAGCAGAGCTATTCACTGATCCATCCTCGTCTGTCCAGGACAGGATGGATGCTTTCCGTGATCGTTGCGACTTTGGCGAACAAATCTCCAACAAGACCTATGACGGTCTGCTTGCGGCCATGGATGGGTATCTGAACATCTACAGTCTGCCGAACAATGTTTTCTACACTATCATAGACACGATCCCTCTTGGGTTCCCCGGAAAGGATTCAGACCTTTTGGCTACCCACTTCGGGGTGAAAGTTACTGTGAATGGCGTGCAGGAGGCAATACTATATACGCGCCAGCTTCTCATTGACCTCTTGGTCCTCGTAGTTTTCGTGGACGGCGAGGTTCAGCAAGAAGACACATCTGAGTTCGATGCCGTGGATCTGTTCGGTTCGTTGATAACATTGCTAAGAGAATACGAGATGATGGCCTGGCTCAGCTCAAACACCCGGAAATGTTTGGATAGGCCCGCAAATGTTTCAGATGACCAATCAACGTCACAATTATCTTTGAAGGACTCGTCTTCGAAGACTACAGGCTTAAGAATGGCGACTATTCTAGAGGACCTGTTTGCTACTGATATCAAACCTCGGCAGACTATCGGCCTACCTCAAAGCTATACCCTAACTCTGGGGATCCACGATGTCCTGTCCTGGGTCACACGCCAAGGCGAGGTAGCTTTTCCAAACGCTCTGGTATATATCCAATGTGACCTCATTGCAAAGAACAACATTGATCTTGCTTGGGACTTCCTTCGTTTCCAGCCAAGCACTTCTTGGGCGACATATGTGAAAGGTCGTCTGTATGTGGCTATGTCTGAATTCGACACTGCAGCCTCGTATTTCCGCAAGGCTGCATATCTTCTTTGTAAGTTTTCTACTTGCATCTCTTTGGACCAGATTATCTGACTTTGTCTCTAGCATGCGGAAAACCTCTCGGTAACTTGCATGAAATGTCGTCGACGCTGCTGGATATTGTCTCAGTGGACTCGTTCCACAATGGTCTTCCGAAATATTTTCAACATATCTTAACCATTTTCGAGCAAGCCCGCTCGTTTTCTCATGTTGCTGATTTCGCACGCCTTGCGTTGCAGGCTCTTGCGAGTGAAAACCGCAACGATCAAGATGCCGAACACAACATCTTACACACTGACCTTCTGTCGCGTTTGTTCTATGCGTCGTTGCAGAATTGCCAGTTCGACCAAGCATATTCTGCCCTATCTCGATACAAGGACCTTGCACTGCAGAAGTCCGCTCTCAGCTCCCTAGTCACAAGTATATTGGTTGCATCCGGACCAGGCACTGCTGGACTTCAGCAAATTCTCCACTTTCCGACGGCACTTATCCCAAATATAGCTTCCTATGTGGACGATACACTGGCCTCACTTGCTCGGAAACAGACAACTTTCAGCTCTCTCTTAGAAACTGGAAGCAGCACACCTGATTACCAGAGAATTCTACAGGCATACCGTATCGCACGGGGCGATTACCGTGGGGCTGCCGAAGTCGCGTATCGAAACGTGCAGCGCCTCCGCAATGCCCGGGATGCTCCTTCCTCTCATCTGGTGCTGAGCAAGAACCGGGACACTGACGGCATCCAGCCCACAGAGGAAGATGATTTCGAAAGCAAGGAGATCCGAACCGAACTCCTATCTTTAATCAACCTGCTTGGCTGTGTCGAAAAGAGCGAAGCCTATATATTAGTCGAGAAGGAAGACTCCGGTGTACCCGCTGCCCCATTCGCAGATCGACGCCGTAGTCTGCAAGCCGATGATGACGGGAACGTATTCATGGACGAAGCTGATGTCAACCCACCCACACCCTATGGCTCCAAGCGCAGACTCAGTTCCAGTGCCACCGCGATCGTGCCATCCGGTCGCAGAGATAGCAAGTCTTCTGTCTCTACAGTCGGCAGCCATGCTCCCCGACGGCGTGTCATCGTGACGCTCGACCACCTACGTCGCGAGTACCAGTCCGAGCTGGATCGAGTCAGTAGAATCGAGAGAGGCGATTGGGAGTTTGGGGTTCTTGACGCCAATGGGGCGGATAATGATGATACGATGCTACTCTAGGTAGAGCCTGGGATGAGCGTCCACGATTTCTGCTTTAATCTCTTGCATATTGTTCTTTCCCCCCTTCTATCTAAGACTCTGGACTGCATTTGTATTCTACGCTAGGCTTCTCTTTCTAAATCATCTGGTGGTACAAGGAAATGGAGAATTTTTTCTAGTTGTCCGATTAATTATCGTCCGCTCCTGCTAAGACTTCTGACCATCTGGTAGACCACTGGCATGCTGTATGGATGATTCCGTAGCCACTTTAGGTACAGTAGGAGTGCCGGGACTCGATCTTTAATCTAGAATATTTTTCCCCCAAAAGTTTGTTGTGGGTAATGAAAGATTGAAACAAAAACCCTTGGGAAATATAGTATGCGACATGCCAATCCAGAAAAATTTCAGTCATATTCCTCCAGCATCTAATAAAGTTACCATCTTCGCCTCAGGGCTCTCGAAAAATAGTACTATGGGGCGTTTTGGCTCCTTAGAATGACTCGTAGGGCGGTAGAAATTATAGAATAAATTAAGTGTTACTATGGTAACTCTCTCCCCTGTAGATCCTTCTAGGGCGTTGTTGTACATACGTAGGGATAAATATATTTATGACATGGGGTTGCAGTTTGCTGAATGGGAATTGTCTAGTACTGTTTGGTGTAGGATACTTGATTGAACTTAGTTAATTTTATCTAACTACGGCTTCGGGTTACTAGCCCTAGCCCTGTATTGGAGGAATATA